TAGCTTAGCTTAGCACAAATACTGAGAACAGCTACCCTGGTTCTGTTCAAAGGTAAAAAAAAAAACTTTAAAGTTCACTAATTAACACGTTTAATCTCACTTGTGTATCTGTACAGTAGTGTAAAAATCCTCAGGGTTATGAGCAGTAACCTCCTGGAACTGCCAGAAAATAGACATGGAGGACCAAACTACATAGCTATCTCTGAAAATAAATAAATAACATAAATACATATAAATATAAGACTATTTAAAGATGAGTAGGCACAGTACAACTAGCACCTTCCTAGTGGGTTGACTTTTGAATTTTTAAAGCACCTCTTCACAGGATTCAGATTACAATATCCAAGTAAGCAAGATAACTTAGTCAAGTGGCAATAAAACCCAATTGAGCTCTTCTAACCATTAGTGATAAGGAAGAGATTAGAGTGGAAATTACAAGCTTGGTTGCATACATTATCAGATAAAGACATACTTCCACTGATCCTCTTCAAATGCTCGACTGCAGAGCTTCAGGAGTATGGAGGTAGACAACAAAAGTTACATCTTGATCTCTACAAAGAGACATCTGAAGTTAAATACATATTTTTAAAAACTGCATGTTTTTAGTCAGCTACAATGAAAGGAAGACAAAAGACAGCATCTCCTGTCTGCCTCTTTGAAAAGTTAGTTGTGGTTAGCTTTTGGTTTTAAAATAACTCTCTCTACTCTCTGTATTTAGACTGAAATTAACAGAAAAAGAGGGGGAGGTGGGTTACATAAAGAACATTTTCCAAGACTCAGTGGCCTTGTTGTATTCAATTGTTGCACGTTGACGGACATGCTGGGGCATGATAGATGTAATATGGCCCCATTGTGTGAGTCGAAGGGTATTTTCTTGTCATGATGCTCCACCACTCATCCCCTGTGCAGACAGCAGCCTCAGGTATTTCTCTGCCTCTCCACCCCCACCTGCATTGTCTCTAAACCCCAAAGGAGAGCAGACTGGTGTGTGAAAACAAAACTACGTTCCCAGATTCCCGTTTCAAATATGCCCACTGGTGCCAACTTAACAGGCAGATGAAAGATAAAACTAAGGGAAACTTAACCTGTCGCCCTGAAGTCACATTTGCCCACTGCTGAGATTATTGTTCATTTCTCAGGGAAATAGGAGAGGGGTGTATGGGTCACGAGTGTTTCTATAATGCTCTGTAGTGCAAAGAATGAAGCTTAGCCATCAAAGGAAATCCCTTATATTTCTTCTAATCCTTTAGGTGACTTACATGTTTTCGTGGGGCTCTGTGGTCTCTGCAAAACCTGATTAAAATTCAGACACAATCTGGAAAGTTCTCAGCTCCAAGTTCACACCACTAGAGACTTAATTCCTGTATTTCATCAGACTGAAGTTATATTTAGTATTTTTAGGTATTGAGCAAAAAGCTGTGGGGCCAAAACGAGTTTCACTGAAATTCAAATTAGGCTGTTTTTTTCCCCCATTGTTGAATCCCGTATTTCAAAATCCACCGCAAAAAGAATAAACAAGAGTTCAATTTATTTCAGACGTGTGTCTACACAAAAATATAACTGTTGTTTTCGCTCTGCGCCTGAACATTCCCATGAGAGAGTAAAAGGTTCCCATGATCTTGGCCTTGCAGCCATATTTGGCATGCTAATACCCACTAAATCTGACACATTTACAACACACAGGAACAGGTGTCTTCAAAACAAGGCAAAGGCTTAGTGATCAGGGTATCCCCCTTCTGCGGCTCCACAAGCAGTGGAGAAGAAAATTATATAGTTTAAGAAAATCATGGCAGCCTGGGCTACACACAGAGACCCAAAACACACACACACACACACACAGCACTAGCACTGAAATGTTAACAAGTAATTATATGGTTGGACTACACTATAGAAAAGAAATGTGACAAAATAAAACTGTTCAAGGCCATAGTCACTCCACAGCTACATAATGTATTACCTTAAGAATTACAATGGATGAAATATATTTTATAGTTCAAAATATGGAAAATAGGTTTGTCAGAATAAAAAAAATTACTTTGGATGAACCCATTTAGAGAGAAATCCAGCAGAAGTTGAAAACATTTACACCAATCAAGCCCACAAAAGGAATCTCTGTACAACTGATACGACATCTAAATCAGATAAGGAAACTTCCCCTGAAAGAAGATGTGAAATCTGTTTGTGTCTCAACAACATGGCAACAGGTAGCAGCGGAAAACTTCAGTATCAGATCCGAATCACTTAACTGAGAGAATATTGTACAGTTACTCTCATTCCTCTGACCTCTCACCCAGGGCAGCTTTTTGTTCTGTTATGCGTCCTGTTCCACATATGTTAGCTTTGAGCATGATTTGTTTAATTGCCTGGAACGTCGCCATTGTGTGGCCATTTCTGTTGTGATAATTGCCTTAAATACAGGTTAATGTGTGGAGCCGAGCTGCTGGTGGAGCCAGCTCTTTACCATTTAATGCTGACTGTTACGGCTACGTGGGAAACGGCAGAGAAAGTGTTACATTTTAACAAGACTGGATGTGTGCCATGAGGAAAGCCTTGACTGTGGCATGTATTTGCCTCATATGACTACATCTTCAGCGGTCCTGTGGACTTTTACTGTAGCCAGAAGAGCTGTTGTTCATTTGAGTGATAAATAAAAGTAAAAAACAAACAGCCCTGGATTTTTATCCCTAAATGAGCATCCTTTTAGGTTTATTTGCGCCTGTGGGTAATCAGGTCATCTGCTTAATCATATGTGACACCAACAGCAAAAGAGGGCAAACAAACAAAGCGCAAAATTGTAGAAAACGACTTCAACTATTACGAAATATAGCATCTCTAACCGTGGCTAACAGGCATAACAGTTGCAATGACTTCACAAGCGTACAGCCATCATCAGCCTACATGTTGTGTGGCTCCAGACATCTCCTCATTACTATCTGGAAGCATGTCAGATCACAAGCCAGCGGAAACTGCAGCTTTTTGATGCTGACCTAACCTTCAGTGTGCAGCCAGAGTGTGAGAAACATTAGAGGATGCTTAG